GTGAAGGCCTGCTGTTTTTCAGACACTATGTCATCTGCTGGTAATAAAAAAAAAAAAAAAAATGAGATGGTAATGAGGCTTTCTGCTCCCGTAAAGATTTACAGCCTCGGAAACCCTGTACAGGGTCGCTATGAGTCGGAACCGACTCCACGGCACATAACGACAACAACAACAACAAGGAATATACACTGAGTGTACTGCTATGCACTAGTGTGCCTGGTTGCTTGGGACTTCATTAACAAAGATAAAGAACAAGGGCTAAAGATACAAACTCCTGAGTTAAGTTTGACATGCCCACAAGCTATCCAGGCTGATTATCCGGTAACAGCTGGAAATAGAAACTGAAATGGAGAATAAAGGTCAGTTTTGGGGATTGTTGTTGTTAAGTGCTATCAGGTTGGTTTTGATTCATAGCGACCCTGTTTCCGAAATGCAGCTGATGGATTTGAACTTCCAACCTTGTGGTTTGCAGTCCAGTGCTTATCTTAACAGCACCACACCCAGAGTCCTAAAGATTGAGAAAATCATCAGCATGATGATCACTGACACCACGGATAGATGAGTATGCTTAGAGAGCAAGAATATATGAAGATGAAAGAAAAACAACTCCCCTTCTTTTGTATTTCCCTCTTCTACTGCCCTTGTCCACTGGTTTTCCCACCATGAGCCTCTTCTCCCACTATCTTCCTTTAAATCCTTTACTTAAAGTAAGGCTCTGAATATGCTAATTTCCAGTCAATTACCTTCAGAGTAAAGTACAAACTCCTTAGCTTTGCATTTCATGGTTCCTGCCAAGCATTCCATTCCATTTTCATTTTTCAGTGTCCCTTTCTAGTCACATTAGACAACTTGACACCCCTCCAATAGGCCTTCCACTTTCATCCCTAGAATTGCTTTGCCATTTCCTCTGTACAATAGGTAACAGAACCTGGGCCATGGAATCAACAGACATTTTTCTTTAAATTTGACTGGTTTTTCCACTAGAGGCATAGCTCTTCTTTTGTTTAATTTATGAATCTGTTTCCTCCAATGCTAAAAGGTCAGGACTATTGTAATTATAACAGCATATTTAGAGCCCTGGACTGCTAACCACAAGGTTGGCAGTTCAAATCCACCAGCTACTGCATGGGAGAAAGATGAGACTTTCTGCTCCCATGAAGATTTTGTTGTTGTTAAGTGCCGTCGAGTCGGTTCCGACCCATAGCGACCCCGTATAGGGTTTCTGAGGCTGTAAATCTTTACGGGAGCAGAACGCCTCATCTTTCTCCAGCGGAGCAGCTGGTAGTTTCGAACTGCTGACCTTAAGGTTCGCAGCCCGATTCGTAACCACAGCCTCATAAAATATGGAGAGTCACTGTGAGTCAGAATGAACTTGATGGTAGTGAATTTGGGGGAGGGGAGTTATAACTCTCAGCACAAAGTGGTTGCTTAATAAAACTTAAATACCTCTTATTGCCATTCATCTTTTCCCCACTTGCTATAATCTTGTTTCAAAGTCAGATTTTTAAAGCTTTACACCTCTTGAAACCTTTTTAAATGTACCTGACCATAATTCATTGTGCCTTCCTCTATGGTGCTGTAGAATCAGCACTGGACTGCAAACCACAAGGTCCACGGTTCAAACCCACCAGCTGCTCTTCAGAAACCCTATCTGTACAAGGTTGCTATGAGTCAGAACTGACTCCATAGCACTAACAACATACTTCCTGTGGTGTCCTGGTGTGGCATTCAGGGTTAACGCACTAGACTGCAAGGTCTGTTTGAGCAGCAAGGTTGGTAGTTCAAGTTCACCAGCTGCTCCTCGGAAACCCTAAACAGGGTCGCTATTAGTTGGAACCACTCTCAGAGGCGCTTAACAACAACAACCAATGCTTCCTGTGTTTTGTTCTGTTGCGCATAAAGTCACGATGAGTCTGTACTGGCTCATGGCACCTAACAACACTTCCTTGATTGGGAGGGTATTATAGTATTCTTGGTGGTGGTGGTATGCTGTGGAGTCGGTTCCAACTCATAGTGACCCTGCATAGGATTTCCAAGGCTGTAAATCTCTACAGGAGCAGAAAGCCTCATCTTTCTCCCATGGAACAGCTGGTAGTTTTGAACTGCTGACCTTAAGATTCGCAACCCAACTCATTACCACTACGCTACCAGAGCTCCTTGTAGTACTCTTAGGAGCAATAATAATGGATCCAACCAGGTGGTAGCAGTGTAGCTGGTGAGAAGTGATTATATCCTGGGGATATTTTGAAGGTTGTTAAATGCCATCGGGTCAATTCTGACTTACAGGGTTTCCAAGGAGCAGCCCATGGGTTTGAATAGCCAATCTTTTGGGTTGTAGTCTAAGTGCTGGTTCTATAGCGCTACACCGGAAGTCCATTTTTGAAGCTATTTTGAAGATAGAGCCAAACGTTTTTAAATGCGGTTTGGATGGGGTATGGGAGAGAAAGAGTGGATTCAAGAATGACGCCTGGTCTTTTGGTTTGAGCAACTGGAAATGGAGTTACCATCAAATGAGAAGAAGAGCCTGTGGGTGGAGCAGGTTTGAGGAAGAGAATTAGAGTTTATTTGGGGGATGTTGAGCTGATGACAGGTCAAATAAAGATGAAGCATAGCTATCAGCCAGTTAAATTTCATGGTCTTTTCCGCAAAAAATATCCAGTAAATTAAAAGGGCATCCCTTATTAGGACAGATTTCTTACTTATCATATTTTGTATCTTATTATTTAAAGAGTCTTTTTTAGACTTGAGTGGACTTTCAAAAATACATACTTAGGAAAAGAGTAGCCAGGATTGGAATTCAATTTCCTGGCGTCTTCTCCAATATCTGAACTATAAAACCACACTAAATCCTAACATCCCATTTTCCTTGGCAATCAAATTCATTTTTCCAGAGATGTTTTTCCTCATTTCCATTCATATCCTTTCATCCACTCTTCAACTTTTTGAGAGAAAAGAATCTGACTAACCAGACCCTCTCTTCACTGTCCTTCCAGAGGCTGAAACTATGCACTGAAAATAAACAGACTATCCCCTCCCCAAAATGCCTGAAACACAATAGTCTAGAAGGATGGATAAGTGTGCAGTCGTCCTCATTGTACTCACAGTGAAGATTGCCATGGACATTCGGTTGCCCTTTACTGATTTTAAGTGGTTTTGAAGAAATGACCCGCTCAGCTGCCTATCCTCTTCTTATCCAAGTTCTTGGATAAAAGGACATGAGTAGAATGACATTTAAAAAAAATTTTTTTCTGTTCTGATTAGCAAGATCGCTTTTTCTTGCACAATAAATTTTACCTCTTAATCTTAGGCCTGCGGTCCAGTAAAACGAGACAATTTTGATATGGCTGTATTTTTAATTTCCACCACAAGTCTGTCAGTTTGTCATATTGTGGTGGCTTGTGAGTTGCTGTGATTCTGGAAGCTGTGCCACAGGTATTTTAAATACCAGCAGGGTCACCCATGGTGGACAGGTTGCTGAGATGTCAGCTTGAAGACTAAGATGTGCCTGACCCAAGCCATGGTATTTTCAATAACCTCATATGCATGCAAAAGCTGGACAGTGAATAAAGAAGACCATAGAAGAATTGATGTTTTTGAGTTATGGTGTTGGACGAGAATATTGAAAGTGCCTTGGACTGCCAAAGGAACCAACAGATCTGTGTTGGAAGAAGTGCATTCAGAGTGCTCCTTGGAGGCCAGGATGGCCAAATGTCATCTCTCATACTTTGAACATATTGTCAGGCGGGACCAGCTGCTGAAGAAGGGTATCATGTTTGGTAAGGTGGAGGGTCAGAGAAAAAGAGGAAGACCCCCAACGAGATGGATTGGCAAAGTGGCAGCATCAATGGACTCAAGCATGGCCCAGGATCGGGCAGTGTTTCATTCTGCTGTGTATAAGGTGGCTATGAGTCAGTACTGACTCGATTGCACCTAACAACAGCAACAACAATATTTTTAATTATCTGCAAACCTTTTATCTCTAATAAGGCTACATTTTCAAGGATCCATGGGGGGGGAGGGGAAATGTTACTTGAAAAGAAATCTATAAATTGTGGCCTTTTATTCTGAAGGTCTTGTGTACGGTTTTATTTTTAATCATAACATTTTAAATTGACACACTCTTACAGAAAGCATTTTCACTGTAATTATTATGTTCTGTTTTTATGCTAAGAAGGAAATGCTGATTAAATGATGAATTACATATATTGTGTTTACTGTGCTTTGCAGGACTCGAGAGGGACAAGTTTGATAATAAAACGGTTTCATTTGAGGAGCACATTAAGTCAGAACACAATATGTGGCATTATTTGTACTTCATCGTTCTTGTGAAAGTGAAAGACCCAACTGAATACACCGGCCCTGAAAGTTACGTGGCTCAAATGATTGTAGTAAGTAACCAGAGAATTTTAATCTGTGACTATATTGCATTTTACATGCTTTGTCTTCTCCACTCTGCCTCCTCCTCAAAATACAAAGGTTCTAGGAATTATGTTTTTAACTTTTAAATAGAACTGTCAATCAGTAAAGAACCCTAGATTGGCTAAATCACTGGCACCCAGTAGATTTCTTGGTTGTACAAATCTCAACTTCATAGATGTTATCTCCTGAAGGATTCTCTATGCAATAAATAGCACACATTTAGTATCCCTGTCATGTTCTGGTTTCATGCTGTAGGATAGGCACTGGACTGCTAACCACAAGGTCAGTGGTTCAAGACCCATCAGACATTTCGGAAACCCTATTTATGGCCGCTATGAGTCCGAACCGACTCAATGGCACTTAACAACAAGAGCTTCTGACATCAGGCCTCCTGTCATTACTGATGTTCCAATTTCACAAATCTGGAACTTTTTGTTATTAAACATGAACAGAAGAGTTGTACTTTGAGAAGTCTTTGAATTATAAAGCTCAAGAGTTTAAGAAAGGAAACATTGTGTTTGGGAAGAGCGTAGTATTCAAACCTAGTGGGAGAGCAATGGTTTCCTGTCAACGTACACTTGAGATTGATTTACCATTATTGGTGAGGGATTTGCACTGATGCTGCCAAATACAGTTGTTACAATTACACATAAAGATCAGTAGTATTATTTAGAGACGGTAGTTGTCCATGAGTTGAATTTTCTTCTGTTTCATTGAAGATTAAAACTAAAGGAAGTCAAAGTTTTAACTTTAGCATACCAAGTTTAATTTAATGAGTATATCTAATGACTGTCATAGCATCTGATTTTAATTGTTGTATTCTTTTAATAGGCATGAATAGAGTCCTTGGGTATACATATAGTTAATGTACTTGACTGCTAGCCAAAATGTTAGATGTTCACGTCTACCCAGAGATACCTCAAACATAGGCCTTGATATCTACTTCCCAAAAAAATCAAACATTGAAAGTCTTATGGAACACAGTTCTCCTTTGGCACACATGGGTTTGCCATTGTTGTGCCCAGAATTTAGGGTCCCCAAAGACCACCAAGGAGCCGACGCCGATGCAAGTGCACAAGGGTTGTTTATTCAAGCTCAAGCCTGGGCCTTCTCCGTATCCGGCACAGCGGACTCGGGAAAAGGCGCTGAGCTCTTTGTTAGCAGAGTTTTTATAGAGTTTTCAAACAAGCTTAGGTTTTTCAGCTTTACAGTATTTGGATTGGTTGACATTTGGCAAAGTATGAGGTGTTACAGTTTAATTGGTTAGTACTGGTGGTCTTTTGTTCTAAGGAAAACATCTGGCATCTGGCCTTGGGTTGTCCTGTCTATTACTTATCTAGTTCTTGCTGTTGCTAGTGGTGAAAGGATATTCTAAGGCAGCATGAGCTCATTTAGCACATTCCTGGAACAGGAGGACGTGTTCAGGCTAATGTACAGAATGGAGTTTTCTTCTTGGTCCTACACCATGAGTTGAATTCAACGTAACAACAAATAATTACAAACATAGCTGTTGTTGTTGTTGTTAAGTGCCATTGAGTCGATTCCGACCCATAGCGACCCTGTATAGGGTTTCCAAGGAGCAGCTGGTGAGCTTGAAC